TCAACATCCATTGCCTCTTAATAATTGCTTCTCCATCTCACTCTCCTCCCCTTTAATTAATCACCGCATTTTATTCTTTTAACTAAGCATCATCTTATATCCAAACTAAATTATAAACTAAAAGTATCTTTGGACATAAAACAGAAGACCGTTTATGATAAAATACCCGATGTTTGTACATTTAACCAAAATCTTGTTTATTATATTATGAATGGTCAACCTAAGAGGACATATTCATAGCCAGATTCTTTAATCTACTTCTTTCTCTTTAATTAATAATATAATTGGTTCAAATCTCCCCTGGAAGTAACACTACATCTCCTCTCTTTCTTTAAACAAAAACCCCTGTTTTTTTCCTAGGCCACCATCAAGCTTAAAACAACAATGGGATTTGATGATATTTGCAACACTGGCCTTGGTCTTGGTCTAAGTCTAGGTCTAGGTTGCCTTGTTAAGCAAGAAAACTTTACTCATCGACGAAAGAAGAAGAAATCGTGGATGGGAAATGACCTTTTCTGCCCGTCCCTGACATTAGGTCCATCGGATGATGCTAGTAAACCACATGCCGATGACGAATTGATCGATTGGCACCGGCGAGCATCTTCCGTCACCTCGGTATCTTCGTTTCTGAACTCTGCTGTCAAGAAAGAGAGAGGTTTCGGTGGTGGAGAAGAGGTAGTAGAATTTGAGAAGGTTTCTTCAAGGGTCAGTGATGAAGATGATGAAGGCAGCCATAGAAAGAAACTTGGGCTTAGAAAACGACAGTCTGCGATTTTAGAAGATAGCTTCAAAGAGCACTCCACTCTCAATCCTGTATATTAGTTTTCTTTATTCTATTCAATATATATATGAATATACATGTATTCAGTGCTTCTTTATTTCTTGTGTTGAACAGAAAAAGAAGCAAGCTTTAGCAGATCAGTTGAATCTAAGGCCACGGCAAGTGGAAGTATGGTTCCAAAATAGGAGAGCCAGGTGATTATTTTATTTTCATTTAATTTTACGTGTTGAAATTTTAAAATAATATTTGAGTTTTTTACTCATTTTTTTAATAAAGGACGAAGTTGAAACAGACGGAAGTGGATTGCGAGTTTCTGAAAAAGACTTGTGAAACGCTAACAGAAGAGAACAAGAGGTTGCACAACGAACTACAAGAGCTTAAATCATGGAAACAAAAAGCATCTTATTGTATGCAACCGCCTGCGGCAGCCACCCTCACCCTGTGCCCTTCCTGCGAGAGAGTTGCCAACGGCGGCGAAGACCCTTCGAATTTTAAAATCAGAACGAAAACTCACTTGTTCAATCCCTTGTCGTCTCACCCTTCTGCTGCCTGCAGCTAAGGCAACTGGTTGAGACCATGAAAACACTGCTCCAACTTTGTTCATGGCTTATGTCTCACATATATATATCGTTTCATGTTTATTAATTAACATATTATATACAAAAATCAGGTATTAGTATATACCTAGCAAAATCTGAGAAGGTATTGGTCTTCTCATCATGTTACTGAAATTTTAGTTATTTAATAACCACCGTTGATTAATTCAGCGAAAATTAAATCAATTAAATTATAAAAGTTGATTTTTAAATAACTAAACATGAGAACAGACGCCAATTTTTCATTTTAATTTTAATTTTAAGATAAAAAATAATTAGGCTTTATATATATATAGGTCAGGGGCTTTTCAGATTATGTGGTGGAAAAAGAATCTAAAACCAATTGAAATTCCATCAATAATGTTATTGGAAGGTTCTCCCACCTTTTTGCATTATTTAACAAAACATTGCGAAAGAATAAAGGCAATGACGCCATTCAATAACGAAATTAAATTATTATTTAACAATTCCAGAATATTTTAAAAGAAAATTATGCTATTTTTTTCTTTTATCGTTGCTTGCTTGATCGGCACTTGACATGGGAATGATGAGGCGTATCTACTATATTATATTTTTATTTGTTTCGGCCAATAATTATAGATAGGATATATTTTTTTTATTAATAAACGCCAATTTTTAAAGATGATAATTATAATTGCAATGATAGGTTTTGACTCATTCCTATTTATTTTTGTTTTTATTTTAATCATAATTGCGATTATACTTTTAACATGTAAAACAAGAAACGATACTCGTACCTTTGGCACACCTCCAGTGAGGTGAGTTGTGCACTTTAGAGCTGGGTATATGGGTTAAGGCCCGCGAGCTACCCGTTTAACCCGTGATCCGTGTGGATTTCGGGCCTAAAAAATTGAAGATCGTTTAAATTGTGGGCTTTTTAGCTCGAACCGTTAAACTCACGGGTTTAATGGGTATAACCGCGGGCTACCCGCGAAACCCGCTAAAGTCTATTTAATTTAAAATTCATAAAATTTTAGATAAAATAAACTTAAAGAATTTTAAAGAAAAAGAAAATAAATTACCTATAAATATGATGTTACTTATAACTATTGTAGTTCTTAAATTTATTAGGACGTTTGTCATAATTTTACTGCTGTTTGATATTTTTTTCATTTAAATATATATCATTATCATTTTGGTATTTAAAGATTTTTTTTATTTAATTTTGACCTTTATTTTTTTCCATGAAGTATGTTATTCATTTTGTTCTTTAATTATAAAAAGTCACGTGATATTCTAATAATATATCATATGACACGTAATATTTGGATTAAAAATAAGAAAGAAAAGTAAAAGAAAAAATTGAAAACATATTTTTCAACTTTTAAAGACTTTTACAAAATAAATATATTTTAACAAATTAATGACTTATATTTTATCAATTTTAGTATAACTGTATCTTTTAAATTTACTCTTATACTGTAAGTATTTTATTTTATATTTTCATATTATGTTTTAGTCTTTCTATAAAGTATCTATAAAATACAATTATTATGACCACTTGACAACTTTCTTGTTAGATTTGTATAATGTTTGACTTTGTTGAATTTTTATGTTTGAATTTCTGTTTTCAGAATTCAGACACTTTTGTGTCTTCATATTATAGCCTTGAATAATCGTGTTTTATAAAAGTGTAATGTGGTTATTGTTTTATTTGTTTTTCAATTTGGTGATATAAGTGAATATTGTTTTTTTAATTTGAGTTTAAGTAATTATATCATTATATATATATTTATATATATATATATATATATATATATATATATATATTAATAATTAAAAAAATTAAAAAATATTATTTTATAATCATTTCCGGCTATTTAAAATAAAAATTAAATATTATTTATTATTTTGACGGTGTTACCTTTATTTTCAAGTTGTTCGATCATTTTTAAAGGTGTAATAAGTTAAAACATTATTTTTTATTGCATTTAAAGCATTTAAAATTATTTCTATTAAACGGGCCGCGGGTAAGCCCGTTTAGCCCGCGGGTTAAATGGACGGGCCACGGGCCTTAAAATTCAAAACCGTTTATGAATGCGGGCTTTTTAGCCCGCTCCGTTTAAGCCCGCACCGTCAAAACCCGCGGGCTAAACGGGTTGATAGCCCGTATACCCACCTCTAGTGCACTTGTGCCAACTGATAGGTTGATTTTTCACTGAAGTTTTTTTATTCATTATAATATGATTATAAATTAATATATATGTTTAATTTTAAATATAAATGAATTTATACATATATCTATAGATTGTTTTTAAAAAATAAGAAATAAATATATTAATTTATTAAAATAAACAATCAATAATAAAATATATCTATAGATTATATTCTAAGTGTAAATTTATTTATAAACAAAAGCAAATTAACTTTTGTTTATTTCCTTTTTATGTAGTAACTGTCATTCAATATATTTATAAACAATTACCAACACCCTTAGATTAATGTAAAAAATTAAAATAATTACCAACACTTAGACTAATGCAGATCATTATTAAAATAAACAATCAATAATAAAAACAAAAATATTATGGCATTGGCAACCCCACATTCAACCCTCTCCAAATTTGCACATGCATGATTAGACAAAGAAATACCCTTCTACGTTGAGGCAGTGGACAAAGCTTGCAATCCAAAGGATTAAGCTGATCAATATCAGTTAACTTCGGGTATGCACTCTTCACCGTAGAAGTACCGCCCATAGTCTGTACAGTCCACCCTACCAAATCACTCGGTGGACGTCGAGCTTCTGATGTCGATAACACCCGATAATCCAGGATATATTCCCACCATCTGCAAGTAAAGGAACTGTGTTAACACGCTGTATGCTAAGGTTAATGAGAGAACCTCTCTTAATATTTGAAGGAAATGGTTCGTTTCCTCAATTGATAAAAGGATTCAGAAAACTGACCCTTTTGCTTTTGGATTAAAAACAAAAAGCCATGGAAAAGTGAAAAGGCACATCCCATTCCCATGTCAAAATTGCAAAAACTCAGACAAGAATTTGTGAAGAGAAAAAAATGTTACCGGCCAGGATCGAACTGGGGACCTTCAGTGTGTAAGACTGACGTGATAACCACTACACCACGGCAACTTGATGATTACTGGTTCAGTTAATTTTATAAATTTAATAACTAAAAAAGTTGACTATCTACTTAACAAGAAATAAACAAAATGATAATGATAATAATAATAAGGGTTAATGGAAATAAAATATTAAATTATCTATATAACAAGTTGAGTATATTGAAATCTATGTTCCAACTTAACAAGTAGTGTTACATATGTAATTAGCATAGTCTTAGACAAATTTTTAGGAATATGTTTGATTTACGTATCTTAATTAGGCTTATATAACTAGAATAAATAGTCTAGTTTTCTATGTGAATAAACACATGATATTCTCTCATTTTCTCTGTCTATAACAGTTTCTATCTTCTTTTTTTCCAGAAATTTGCTGATGGGAATAAATGGTTTCGTCAGTCATCAGTTCATCCTTTTAGTTTGTACAGAAAATCGCAGGAGATGAAGAACAATGCAGAAACCGTCTTAAACACTGTCTTTCACAAGGTAACAACACGCTACAAGCAGATTGGGATTTCAAATACAGAAGAAAAGGGAACAAATTACAGTTTCTAGGACTTATTGAACAACGTTTTCTGAGAATTAAAAGTGTTGGCAAAGGATCATTCCTGAGTCTGAAAGGGTTTATATGTCTTGAGGCTTTGAATCAATCCTTGAATGGATCCCGCAGCGGCAATGAGTGAAACAACCAGGCAAACCCAGCTGAGTATTTTTAGCCATATCCATCTGAATGAGTATTTAGGAATTTTGGTTTGCGCTATGTGCATCTCTATCGGAAAGTAGACCGTTAGCGGCCAAAACGAGCCGGCTCCGATGAGACCCAAGAAATCGTTGAAGAAAGGAAATATCATGGCTATCACAGCCGTTACAATAACGTATGCCGTCCTCCACACCAACCTGAAGAAATTGACGTAGTAAATACCGTACAACGGAATGTCAACAGCATGTTCACCGGTGATGAACTTGTTGTCGGACCAATTCCTTGAACACCAACCCTCGACGAATCCGAACAACGGTTGTGCAAAAACCTGAATGCATATAAATCATGTTAGAGCATATATTTATGTAAGGATTGTCATAAGATTTTATGGTAGGAGCGAACTTATAATATTTTAAAGGATCAAAATAGAATATAAATAAAAATTATATAGGAATTTGAAATTTTCAGAGATATTTTCGATCCATCACTGTGCTCTAAATATGTGTTGAGAGGACATGAGATTCTACCTGGTATGCGCCGATGAGATGGATAGCAATGCAGATGTTGGCGAAGTCGACCAACCAAAAGGGTTCATAGAAACCAAAGCCTGTAAGAAAATTCCCAGGCGCATCGTTGCCGAATGCGGCGTATCCAAAAATGCCGCAAAGTACATAAAACAAAGTGGTCGTCGAAACACCGACGCTGGTTGCTCTTTTCATAGATTTGTTCTCCGGTGGGCTCGATTTGATCGTGTCCTGGAATCAAAAAGAATTTCATATTTATTAGAAGAAAGAAATTTGATTCTTCTTTTTTGGTACGAGACAAAAGACAATGAAAAAAAAAAACACAAGTAGAGTCAAATCTCATATATGACTATAAGTCGAGTCAGATTTTTAATACATTTAATTCAAATCTTAAACATTATTATTGATATTTGATTTGATCCAACTTTATATAATTTAAATTTAAATTTTCAAAATTAAAATTGACTTAACCAAATATCGAAACATTATGAAATGTCCAACGTAGAGTGGATGTCACAATCCGTCGCTAATAAAGTCATGTGAATTGAGAACACATGAAAAGCAACAAATGGTCGACAAAGAAAGAAAAGAGTACAAATTGAGCTCACTTCAAAAAGAGTGGCTCAAACTCTACAATATTTTGGTCCACTTGATTTTTAGTCCGTAGGAATCTTTGGTAAAACCTATGCAAAATAAACTGTTGACTTTTCTTACTATACTTTACTCAAAAAGAATAATTTAATTTATATACGATAAAACGTATGTTATTATTTGTCAAACTGCTTTCATTTATTTTCCTTGTATAAAATCATTCGACATAATAAAATAATTTCCCCAGCTCTGAAAATTCAACATGCTTTCTCCTAACACCTAATCCCACTGACCCCGAGTTCCAGAACCGTCGCCAAAAGCCATTTTTCAAGTGTTTTTTCTTCCGTTTTCTTTCGCAAGTCATTGCCGTTTCTTTTTAATATTCTTACGAGTAAACTATTTCAAACGATGCGTTATTTCATTTTCATGGATTACGGCCTACCAATCAGTTATATTTGAAGGTTTTTTTTCCCTTCACCTACCATGCATGCATTGATATGGTTTAAGAAAAATATCCCCATAATTCAAATGCTATCTATTTACCAACACAATATACTAATGTAAAAAAAAGTAAAGAAAATTAATTTAAATCAAACTGTTATTACCTCTAAACATGTACATATATAAGTACCGGAAGGAAAATTTTATGTTAGGAAAGTCAAACTTATAAAATTCTAGTAGGACAAGACATTATAAAATTCTAGCTAGGGGCAAAAATATATTATGCACAAAAAAATATCTAAAATATATGATAATTAAAAATTTCAAGGGACGACTGGATACTACCTCATCTGCTCCCTCTCAGTCCATCCATGTATATATGTACGTATACGTGTTATGTATATATTTTATGGTGGAAGTATATGTACTTGCCTGAATTTCAATGAGGACAGTGGAGTAAGCATATGCAAAGGCAATGTCACCGATAGCTTGGAAGGTCCTCCAAATTTTTTCTGATCCCGACACGTCAACCCCAACTGTTACACCAGTTAAGGCTGTCCTTGCATGTCCCCCACCTTGATGTCACAAATGGAAACAATTAGATGTGTTAATTCAAGCCACTCAATATGAAATATATTCATGATTTTATTACCTGCAACTTTGGCAATGGAGAGACCGAGGCCGATGGACGAGTAAGCGAAAGACATGACGGCGGCAACGATGGAGAGCCATGAAAGCTTGTCGAAGTTGGGGATTTGACTCAGAAGGAGCTGAATGCAAGCGAAGATTACCATGAATGGGTAGTTCGATGTTTGACACTTCACTTGATGTCCATGCTTGTGGAAGCAATTTGACCGTTTCACAGCCCTGATTATTACAAGGTAATTAAGACGATTGATTAAGATTAATTTTGTTAAAAAGCAATGATAATATGATTATGATCTGTATTAACTTACACCATACTGATTGATGCTGTGATAGTGTATCCTATGGTTATTCCAACAAGATTTGCGTATTGAGCCAACCCACAGAGCTGAACTTTTCTTCCTCCTGCAAAAAATAAAAATATATATATAAATATCTACACGAGGGATAAGTAATTTCTCTTTGAACTCATGTTAAATACATTATATAACATATACACATATAATTTTTCTTATAGATTGATAACATGTACACGTAGTTGTTTATATCTGGATCCTTTATGAAAAAAAGCAGCTGCGCTCGGAGAATGTATATAAGTTTTCAATAATTAAAAAATATTCTGAACTGATACTATTTTGTAAAAAATAAAAGAATATTAAAAAAAATACCTAAGTAAGCTCTAACAACATCCATGTACGTATAGTTTCTCTTTCCATGAACAGGATCAGGAGCCCTATAGCAGTCAGCAAGAAGAGTGGAGGTGAAGTAGGTGATGAAGGAGAAGGCCATGAGAACTGCCGGTCCGGCCACCCATCCCAGCTGTGCGATAGCCCATGCAAGAGATAACACGCCGGAGCCGATCACAGCAGTGATAATATGAGCACTCGCAGTAAGCCAAGTCCCTTTCAAAACAACCAAAGCCATATCAAATAAACAAAAGACATACAAATAATAGGATCATTAACAAAAAGTAGTAGTAATTATCATTTACCAGTTCTTTTGGGTCGACCATCATCATCCAAGTTCTTCTGGATACCACCATTCTCGTAATCGCCGGGGCTTTGCTCTATGAACATGCTGGTCTTTTGCATATGCTTAGACATCTGCTATGCCTCTCTTTGCTGAAATGGGTTGTGTCAAATTATGTGTCCAAATGGAGCACTATGGGGAGTATCTAGACGAGGAAAGGCAAAGGCAAAAGACAAGAAGAGAACTGGGGTTTGGTTTGAGGTTTGTGTAAGAGAATATGATGGAGAGTTTAGGGAGAAAGCAAAGCATATAAAGGGGTTGATTGGAGGTTGGGGGAGTGAAATTATTAACATTGAATTAGGCACAATCGATGGTCGTCGTTTGTGCTTTTGGGGTGTCTTCTCATACGGGGGGTCCCCACATTTTGTATATTGCATGGGAACCATCCATTGTGATATCTCACAAAAGTAGACATAATTGTAAGAATATAATATGGGCCTTCCATGGGGAAATGATTCTACTCGATAGATGTTACTTAAAATATTGAAATGTATTTTATAGGTATATGTTTGATGTTTTGATTTTAAAATTAAAAAATTTATGATTTAGGGTTAAAATTTATTATATTGATATTTAGAATTTAGAGTGTATATTTTATGATTTAGGGTTTAGAACATAAGATACGAAGGTATTTAAATATGTTGATGATGAAATCATGATTGTGAGGAAGATTGATGATTTATTTTATTTTTTTGTTTGGATGGAGAGTTACAATCGGTAATTTTATGAGAGAGGTGTAGAGTGGGTAACCTAAAGAAGATGAACAATATTATCAATTGAGAGATTGAGGGCTACGGAGCCTTTCTCCAGCCATGCATGGTGGCTTATATATTAATCTTTATTGTTGGTGTTAGGTCTAAAGTGGAGATGATTATTTTTAGGTTGCTAGGCTAAATACATCTAACTATCATATAATAGATGTAACTTTGGCATATCGTGTGAGTCAAACAACGATCATGTCAGAGGACTAAAGCTGTTTGAGAATATTAAACACCGAGGACTACTTATAACTCTAGATACATGATATAAAAAAATCCTACTTGTAACTCTAGATACATGATAAAAAAATCAACAACGAAGGTGAAATTTATAGAAAAGATCCGAAAGAGATGCAATAAAACATCACTAGTAAAATTAAAGCATTCCATCAATAATATATAAAATAACAACCTTTAATAAATTTTATATTTATATAATTAAGAATAAAACGCAATAAATCTAGCCTTGACTAAGCCACTTTGTTGGTTAAGTCGGTTCCCTGATTTAGGGTTGGGGTAATGGCAACTTTTTATCCTTAAGACACCCAGGAACACACGTAATTAACTAAAAAAATTTGATTGACCCCTCCACATGAGATATTGGACAAACATCAAATTCTTTTTATTATTATTATCATTTATAGCCTTTTAAGTGCTCAATGTAATGGTCCTCCTGGATTCTTCGGTGAGGCTTTTGGTAAATCCTTCAATTCCAAGTAATGTGGTAATGATAATTATAGTAAGCTTTTGTTTTACATGCATTTCAGTTTAGAACCGACCATGCATACAAAGTTGTCGAATACTATCAATGTGTTCGTCTACATTAGCTCATTTTAAGGAGAATGTTTCCTTCAAATTGATCATTAACAAATCCGAAATTTAATTTAAACTCTTTATACCAATTATCATTAAATTCCACGTGTCTGTCTCCAACTACCAACAACAAAAAAGACTTAAACAAGTGATTGTTAGTGGTACATGATTACTATAGGAGTGTCGGCCCCGGATGTTGGAGGGAGTAAACGATGTGTGCCTTATTGGATCCGATATCTTATGTTCGATTATTTTTATAATTCAACTCTCTTTTCCAAATATGCTATGCTATAGGTGGCCATGGAATTTGGCTACCTTGTATCACCACCGCGAACCGTGCTTATAATGGGGGCTCGACTCCACATATTATATTTTATTCCATTTCTTTCTTCTTTCATTATGCCCAGCTGTTACATTTCACCATTATAGATCATGACCTGGTTTTAAAGTAGTATATGACTAAAAGTTTTCAATCTATTTGATAATATATACACATACTACAAATGTACATATTTGAACCCGAATTCTTTAAAGAAAACACTAATTAAACTTTATTGAATTGAAGCAAAACTCAACACAAGTTGGTGTCTCAGAAGACTTCTTAAATTGAGACCAGAGGTGCAAAATTTCCTTCATCCGAGTACTATCAATGCAAGCTCGATATGAGATTCCATTCGGGCGAAAAATCAGAAGGTCCCTTGGCATAAACTCGTTTGGTTTTCCCTGCACATTCCAAAACATAGTATGATAACCTGGATAGCTCTACTTGACAGACTCCCTACCAAGGATCGTCTCCACCGAATCGGTCTAACTAATGCATGCTCTTGTCTTTTATGTAACTCGGAAGTGAAAACTAGGGACCACCTTTTCTTATTATGCCCTACTGCTGTTTCTCTTTGGGAACAAATCTTCTCTTTTTCTGGTTTGCATTTTACAGCTACTTATGGGAAGAATTCTTGGAAATGGCGAGCTCTAATTAGAAAGGAAAATCATTGTTATCTACTTTAATGAAGATTGCTTTGAATGCATTGGTTTACTTGCTTTGGGAAGAAAGGAACAAAAGACTGTACCAAAGCCGATCTAGGCCTGTTAATGAACTTCTAAAAGATATTAAATCTATTGTATGTCTTCAACTAAATGGCAAGAAATTCAATAGAGTAGATAATGTGAATCTTACTCTCTACAATCATTGGGTATTGATAACTACTGATTTTTGTATTGTAAATGATTTGTATTGAACCCTGATTGTATTTGTAGCGTATTGCTATTTGGATAATAAAATTCTAACTTATCCCAAAAAAAAAAACTTTATTGAATAGAACTTAATACATTCAATTTTTGCTGTTTATGTCGTTGAATAGTCATATGTGTTTCAATCATCTTCACAATATTCTTGACATTTGAACTTTTACATTTAACGAATTTAAATATGCTATCGAATTTTGAAAAAAGGAGTTCGAAAAGTTTGATGGAAGAAGTGCGGTTGGAAAGTAAAGCAGTGTGTTGGAGAAGAACAGATTCTGATGCCAGAATCCTTGGACTAAACCACTAACTGCTGTAGAATAATCTTTTCCCTTAATTAATTAGAAATCATTCATTTGGGTGTTTTTTTAAATGACACCTTGATTAATGAGGGAATAATGAAACTGTATGCATTTCAACCTGAAAAGGGGAACATATGCAAGAAGCACGATACAATTAAGAGTCCCTGAAAATCACATCAACACCAGAAAGGGAAGAACATGGATTGATGACACCATCGAAGTTTAATTTAACTACACCGGAGATAATCGGGATCGGTGTTGTAGTTGATAATTTAACTACTGACATTGTTTAAGGGATATAGTATCTCATTCCATTAGACTAACTAGTTGTTGGTGAACAATTTATGTTGCTTGTGAACAATTTATGTTGTTTTGGTAAACTAAATAAGTCTATAGTTTATAGAATTATTTTAAACAAATAATTCATATTATGACTATTATGTTGTCTAAAGTTCGAAAGTATTAAAACATGTTAACTCTCAAGTAGAGATATAAATGTGCAAATTTAGACTAACAACACATTAGACTCGATCCAAGATGAATTAATTTTTTAATTAAGAGGAATTAATCTTAAATTTATTTGTGTTGTTTAAAATATATTTTGTTTAATCTTAAGTTAATACGTACATAACTATGCACGTATGACTTGCATACTTTTTTTTTGAAATAGGTATTCGATTCCATTAAACTGAAATAGTATCACTTACAACTATGTTGACTGGTCGACAGACATGTCGAACCACGATATTGGAGTTTGCACGTAGAGAGCACAAGCCTCGGATAGATGAAAGTTTAACACAGAAAGGTCTAGTCCATCAGAGAGAAACTGCGAAACAACATTGGAAGCATCACTCTCAATAACCATTCGCTCACAGTCCAACTCTAATGCAAGCAAAATGCCTCCTGTAATAGCTACAGCTTCAACCTGGGAAGATTCACTCAAAGGCGCTAATGGAATAGCATGAGCAGCAATGACTGCACCATAATGATCACGAGCAATAAGACCCACGGTCGAAGCACGGGTGTCCGATATAAACGCATCATCAACATTAATCTTTGTGATGCTGGCATTTGGCTTTAACCATGATGTTGGAACATTATTCGAAACACGTGGAGCAGAAGAAGAAGAAGCATTAGTCGTTTCCCTTGTATCAGGGTTTCAAATCGTGGTCGCGGTCGCATTTTTGGTCATTTCGTGTTTACCGCGATTGCATCCGTAACGGGCGCTATTGCGATTGTATCGGGTAATTCGGACGACGACTCTATCGCTATTTTGCGGGCGCTGTCATATTTTCGGACCGCAATTTGAAATCCTGCCTTGTACAAAGACATTGCGACACAGCCATAGATGATATAATAAAACCAACAAATCAGAAAATATCTCACATGATGAGATAAATCATATTAGATATTTGAAAAAAAGTGAATAATCAAATTGAATATAAATTACTTAAATTCTAATTTTGAATTATTTGAAAATTTGATAAAAATTGGGTCTTTAGAGTTTAAACAATCTTTAACCCGATAAATGAATAATCCACTATCCCATTAAGGCTTTTGTAACACCCTGCCCGTACCCGACCCAGATATGCGTATGAGGTATCACATTGACTTTTCAACTTTTTGACTATTTGAAAATTTGACTAAAATTTAACTTTTATTGAAAAATAAAACATATTTACAAAACATATCAGAGCATCTACAATTTAAAACATTATTAGTACATGTCAGCAATATTTCAAATAACAAAACACATACAATTCAAATTCTCTTTGATCTGATAATCTTCTTAATTATGTTGCCCTGCCTTGCTTACTCGGCTTACTCCTCGAATCTCTTTGGACCTACGTGTGTAAACACTCACACTCTAAGTTTATGACTTAGTAAGGTAATATTACATATAATAAAATAATAAAATTGTTATATAAATGTTTCCAAAAGAATCATTAAATTTTATAACATCATACTATTCATAACTTATAACATATACTATTACCCATTGATTAATTATATATGTACCTTTGATACTTGCTTATACAATTCTTTGAAACATTTCGTATAAAATCCATAGACACTTCATTATTGTTTTGTACTGTTACTCATTGTTCAAATTATATCAAGTT